TACAGACAATTCCTTAATATCAAGTTTGCGGGTTGTTTCATTACTGTTGATTTCAGTGTTCCTTTCTGCAAAGCTTGCATTCTTCTTGGCATCGTACAGTTTAAATGTTAACTTATTCATATCATGAGTGTTTTTTTTTTTTTTTTAGCAAAACATTGGTCTGTAGTAAGCAAGTAACTTAAAATATATTGATGACCAGGGACTTTTTAAAGCAACAAACTAAACCGATGCCTTTCAAGTTGTGCTTTTTTTTTCAAAAAGCTACTCCATTGTATAATATACCAGTATTGTATGAAAACTGAAAGTCAATGTATATTATAACTGAGAAAATAAACATAAATTGAGGTATCTCCTGTTAAATATGTCCTTTCCTCTCTTACTACTCCCTCTACCAATTAACATGCGGCGCTGAATTGCCAACACGGCTGTCGAGTTTTAAAATATAATAATCCTTGTATTTATTTTGTATTCCATCATCCTGTGTTCGAGTTTGCCTTGCTTATCTTGAAAGTCTTTTTATAGGACAATATATGTAGTTTTGTTTACGAGTACATTTGCATACTACACCGACTCTATTACCTCTGTATAGAGCGTTTAATATAGTTGGTTTATTAGTTTGTGATCCATCGTAATAAGACGAATACCCTCTAAAAGCAGTCCCATGAAAGATAGACAATAAAGTGGCCTTCCAAGACTCACGAAATTGTAATGACACGATTCACTCCCAGCCCGTACCGTGGTTTAGTCGTCCAAGGATTTCTAGAGGCTCTTAATTAAAGACCACCCTTAACCAGTTTTAGACTTAAGGTGGCTGTTGTCAAACACTTGTCAGACAGGTCTGGTTAACATGTGAACAGCAAAAAATAAAAACTCCATGCCAAGAAGAGGCGAGTGGTAAGTTTTGAGTCATTATATTAGCAGAGGCTTTTATTACAGACATTAATTGTGTATCTTTATTTTTTCAAAAATATATTATATTGTGGTGCTTAATATCTGGTTATTGTTAGACTTACCCGAAGAATTACAAACTAGAAAAATGTGAATATATTGATTCAAAGGAATTGTAAAGCTTTATCTGTACAACACTAGTAGTGTTGATAATTGTTTACAATCGCGTTATTCCAGTTTCGCGAGTCTGTGTAATTCTTGTAATGGATTATATTTTAGTTCGTGAAGTGCTAAACCGTGTGGGTTATTCAGTGCGCAGAATGATGGATACTCGATCCTCCGTCCGATGATCGTAGCTAGGTCTCTAATTAGTCAAGCTGTTGGTGATTTGAATAACTTTAGAGGGAAACAAAACGTAAATCCAGTATTTCAAGATGAACTATAAACAGAGCTCAGCCAGACTTATATTTTATGTAGGATAGGTGTATTCAGTGAATATTTAATGGCGTGAAGATAAGAGAAACGCGCACTGGCATGCCATTTATGAGTTCCCTTAAATTTAAAGAAGAAAGATATAATGATTTAATAAATCATTAACTCTTCTTATACATTGTAGTTCATACATTATATTAATGTTCAGATTTCCCACATTGTAATATTTTTAATAACATTTAGTATGAAACTAATAATAACTGACCATAATTACTACGTGAACTGCGTTGTCTGTAGGTAGTAAGAATAATAAAAATACTCAGGAATTTCGACTTCAATGGAGTTGGTACAAGAAAGAACACAGTTCGTCAGATTGGAGTCACAACAGAAAATGGGAAATTGTTACCGACGTGACTTGTTTTTAAATATTTAAAAGAATCTGACGAAATACAGCGTTAGTCTGCGTGCTAATGTTAGTAGTGACCAGCTCGTGAAAGGAAATGGGCAGTACGACTTCCCAGGAAGTTATAAAGTTAAGAATTAACAGATAACTTATTATTGAGTAATTTAGACGGATGCTATACTTGCTCTTTATAAAACATATACACTACTTTCTGCACATTGTGTGTAATTTTAAATATAAATGTATGTGGTAGAAATTCGTCTAGATAGTTAAATATGAAAACCCTCTAGAAATAGGAATATGATTAGCAAAAAAGAATCGCAAGGGGTTAGATAATTTTGATGTGTATATGAACTAGTTTGAGGCCAGTATTTCTCATTCAAAATCCCAAATTAAACTTTTCTGAAAAATCTGGTCTTTTGGTGATTTCTTAATTTATTTTTTTTATTATATTGATGAGGAAGCGCAAAGAAAAGGTAGGGGTCATATAGTGCCTAGGGAATAGGAAGCATTCAAGGTTGATCCAAGACAGGAGAGGATTAGTATGAAGCCTGGTCAGACTTCAGACTCGTCAATCAAGTGGTCGGGTCATGTTATAGTATGTTCAGTCATTGGTAAGACAAAAGTTAGTACGTTTTTCTCATATTGACCAGATATTTTTATTGTTTGTGCATGGATAACTGAGTACTTTAATGTTAAGTTTTTAACCTTAGTAAATTTTCCTGCTTCAAATAAAGGTTCTGTTTAATTTTGCCTTTACTTCGTTACTTTCCCCAACATGAGGTGATACGCGCTACTACATTTCTTTCCATCCAAGCCCATTTCTTGAATTTTATCACCACCGCCTCCAACCCTTTCCTGTACAACCATCCTAAAAGAAACCCAACCACACCACCTTCACTCACCGCCACCAATCTCCCCCCCCCCCTTCTGCTTAATTAACCCTTCCTTTACCCCTGCCAATACCTCCTCAGCCTTCTTCCCTTACGTCTACCACCATTCCCTCTTCCCCTCCCCCTTCAGCCATTTTCCCTTTTGTCTTCAGCCTTCCCTTTCCCTTGCCTTGACGACCCCCCTTTCCCCAACCCACTGCCATCCCATTCCTCCGCCTATCACCAACCACATATTTCATCCTTACCTTTGTTACCAGCCTCCACAGCCCTTCCCGCTTACCCTTACCGCCACCCACCTCTCTCCTAATACCTTCCATAAAGGAAGGTTGCTTGACGGCGATGAAGGGAATCTTTGTCCAATAAATTGGAGCAATCCTCCCTTGGATAATCCCTACAGGTTTGGTACTCGCCTTCAATAACCTATGATTAGTCTGTTCAACATATCACTACAAACTGGCATAGTGCCTGATAAATGGAAAATGACAACTATCTAAAAGCAGGACGTCCTTAGCTTAGAACTATAGACCAATAAGCCTGGAAAATTTGATTGAATTATTAATTGCCGAGACTATTCGAAGTAACCTTGAGACAGAAATTGATTAATGAACCTCAGCACGGTTTTACAGATATACTGCCTTGTGAATTTATTAACTTTTTTCACTAAGGTATTTGAAGAGGTAAATCATAGTAATGAATATGATAGGGTATATGGATTTCAGGAAGGCTTTTGATAGTCTCACATCGGAGGTTATTGAGGAAAGTAAGAGGCACCCGGAATAGGAGAAATTTTTACCTGGATAGAGGCCTGGTTCCCGACAGATAGGCAACAGCGAGTCTGCATAAATTGGAGAAATTAGAGGATCCAGGAAAAAAGTCAGAATATTATTATGGAATATCATGTAGAATGTCTTCAATCTCTCCGTGTCATGTATTGTCAATAAATGACTGATTTACATGTTTTTGTTTCATTGCCTTACTTTGCTTAAAAAAAAATGCAAAAAAAAAACATGATTTTCACACATAAACTGTCTTGTCAGTTTGTACAAGTAGGTATAATGTTTGTCAGAAAACAGGACAAGTGTTTCCTGATGTGGGTCTTATTATATGATGACCCACAGCTGGAGCTTTTGCTCATCTGACCGAGGCCTTACGCTGGCTTACCGGTCCACCCATTTAAAAATTATGGTTAATATTGTAACCATTTTAAATGGTCGTTTGGTACAAATCATGTACTACAATAAAACCCTTGTATCTACGGATTCGGTATCCGCGGTTTCAGTTATCCACAGTGTACTGTGGCCCAAAAATAACCCTTAATTTTGCTTAATAATGGTCCCAAAGCACAAAAGTAGTGATGCTGGCAGTTTTTCAAAGCATAAGAGAATCATTGAAATGCTTTCCATAAGTGAAAAAGTGCTAATTATAGACTTATTTTGCATAATTTAGTAATTAAACTTTATCATAGGTATGTATGTAAATGAAAAATGACTTGTATAGGGTTTGCTACTATCCACAGTTTCAGGTATCCACAGTAGGTCTTGGAAGGTATTCCCTGTGAATACGGGGGGACTACTGTACTGTCAGTTAATAACTGGTCTAAAATACAGGTCGGCCATCACTAATACGGCATCATTAGGACCTGTAGTGTGCTGGATTAGTGAGTTTGCCGGATTACAGAGTGGTTAGGTTAGAATACACTTAATTAACCTATCAGCAGAGAGAATTTCTGCTACATCTTGTCATTTTCATTGCTGCTTTCTCCTCCACTGGCTTGCTGCTGTGGATTTACAGCCATCTGCACAATTTCTGTCAGTATAACGATGAAATTTGAGTCAGTATAATGATGAAACTTAAAATTATGCTAGCCGAAATTAGTGCCGGATAACTCATTGCTGGATTAGTGATGGCCGACCTGTATTTTTTATTTTATTACTTTAATTGTTTATGGTATTTAAGTGTGACTTTTCCCCTTGGTCAAAATTGACATTTTTTTTTCTGTGACATTTTCAGGACACTGCGCTAAACCCATAGGGATTATGCAGCACCTGTGGGAAAGGGGGGCATTGGAAGGCATTCAGGCTTCATTCTGGGAATTGGAGCACAGATCCCATCCCCTAGGTCAAGAGCCTCCTCACCAGCATCAACAAACCTCCCTTGAGGGGGACCTTTGGTTCATGCATTTTGCCCTTCAAGGAGAGTACCTTGATGCTGCTGATGAGTTCTTGGTCCAAGGAATTGGATTAACTTCTGTCAAACCTGATAACCTCCCACTCCCCAGGCATTGTATGACCCCCATGGTTTAGCACTTTTCCGTGAATATTATAGTACTAAGCATACACAAGCTACATTTAAGTATAGTAGTCTAATTAAATAATTTATTTCAGAACACAAGATTGTGATGGTTGGATTGGATAATGCTGGGAAAACTACAATCCTCTACCAGTTACTAATGAACGAGGTTGTTCACACATCCCCAACAATCGGTAGTAATGTAGAAGAGGTGGTGTGGAAAAACCTTCACTTCATTATGTGGGACCTTGGTGGTCAGGAATCGCTAAGGTCTGCTTGGAATACGTATTACACCAATACAGAAGTAAGAAAGTGTTCAAATACATGTGTATTAAGCATTTAACTCATCTTGATTGTGTAAAATTCCTGTAAGTTTTTTCTCACTGTCTTGGTTACTCCATGTAAATGAATGGTCTGAAATATGCAAAGCTGTTTACAATTTCAAATAAATATGAAGAACACTGCCTGAGCCTAATGTAATGATCCTGCAAGATTACAGTTCTATATCCATATAATAAAATCTAACCATCATATCCCTTGACATGCTGCATAATGTATGTTATTGCTTTATCTCTAAAATTTCAATTAAAGTTGCAATTTTTTCTGCCCATTTATGCTATACATCAACTTGCTGCATCCTGTGCCTTATGTCACACACACAGTTATTGTTTCTCATTTATTTGTTAACCTTGGTCTAGTTTTTAAGATAAACACCATGGCACTTCACATTCAATTTTATCTTCTCACAAACCACTTCTAAACCCTGTTAATAGAATAAAATCCCACATCTTGGCTAGTTTATCATAGAGGAGAATTTTCCTTCTAAACTTAGCTTTTTTTTTTTTTCCAGGTCAAAGAATTCATCTAAGGAGTCTTAAAATTGTCCTCAATTAGATCATTTTTTTTTTCTATCATAAGAGTAGAATACAGAAGGTCACTAAAATAGATTAACTGTACAGTACCCAGGTGTTGCACATGTCTGATATATCAGTCACCAGGTAAACCTGACTTCATGCCAGACTGTGAAAATAGAATTCAAAATCAGTCAAGGGTATGTCATAGGGTAAGGAGGGGTATGTAAGTGGTGCAAGTGAGTTTAAGAGGTAGCAAGGAATAAATTTGCGTATTCATTTTTATTTTTAATTTTTTTACAGTATATTTGTGGACTGTACATAACTGTTATAGGAGACTTTCCTTCATCATTCTTATTTGTTCTAACAGTATCAAGTTAGATTTATTACAGCCTCTCCTCACTTAGCAACGTACTCGTTTACCAATGCCTCAGACTTATGACGAGCTCTCTGACTAGTATTCATACCTAAATAATGTACAGTGGACCCCCGGTTAACGATTTTAATCCGTGCAAGAGGGCTCATCGTTATGCGAAATAATCGTTATGCGAATTAATTTTCCCCATAAGAAATAATGGAAATAAAATTAATCCGTGCAAGACGCCCAAAAGTATGAAAAAAAATTTTTTTTACCACATGAAATGTTAATTTTAATACACACAAACTGAAAAAGGCATGCACAATTACATGACACTTACTTTTATTGAAGATCTGGTGATGATTGATGGGATGGGAGGAGGGGAGAGCATTATCTTCTTACTGTTTAGAAGGGGAATCCCCTTCCATTAGGACTTGGGTACAAGCCCTTTTCTGGGGTTACTTCCCTTCTTCTTTTAATGCCACTGGACCAGCTTCAGAGTCACTGGACCTCTGTCCCCACAACAAATCTGTCCATAGAGCTCTGTACCTCCCGTTCCTTTTACGATTTGTCTAAAATGGGCCATAACATTGTCATTGAAATAGTCACAAGCACGGCTTGCAACAGCTGTGTCAGGGTGATTTTCATCTTTTAAAGGTTTTGCAGTTCAAACCACTCTGCACACATTTCCTTAATCTTTGAAGTAGGCACAAGGGATTCCACAACTGGCATAGGCTTCTCAGGGTTAGCCCCAAACCCTTCAAAATCTTTCTTAATTTCCATACTAATTCTCACCCTTTTTACCACGGGGTTTTGGCACTAGAAAAGCTTTCTTGGGGCCCATGGTCACTTATTTTCCAGAAACACCACCGAAAACACTGTAATAATACGAAATATTCCGTGTGTATGCTTGGATGTTACCGCGGAGGCTGGCTGGTAAACAATGGGACGGCCGGCACATGTGAGGGCACATTGGACCCCGTCTCGGACGAAAATCGGTATGCGGGTTTTTAATCGGTATGCGGGGCAAAAATTTTGCGATAAAAGTAATCGTTATGCGGAAAAATCGCTATGCGATGCCATCGTTATGCGGGGGTCCACTGTATATTAGAGCTGATTTCCTCTATTCTGTTTATTTCAATATACAGTACACTACTGTAAAAGTATTTAAAAATATACCAGAAATGTTATTAATGTAGCAAAGGTGACATTAAAACAATATTAAAAATGGTTGACACAAACTCTCTACCATTATAGTATGCTCCTCACTTAGCGACGAATTTGTTTAACGATGTGGTCTCAGGAATGGAACTCCGTCGTTAAGTGAGGAGAGGCTGTATTAATTTATTCCTTTATATGTACACCTACCATCCGACTTACGACCTGCTTGACATATGACCACTTGACTTTTGACCGTGTTTTGTATGCCAAATTTCTGGGAAATAAACAACTGTTTGTGATGTACACAGTGTTTATCCTAAACTGTACAGTATAAAACACGGTACTAGCAGCATAAAAAGTAATGTAAAACATGAAATACCAGAATAAAACAATAAAATAAAGTCATTACAAAAATGTGATGTTGATATTTATTAGTAAGGTTCGACTTAACATCCATTTTGACTTACGACCAGTTGGTCGGCACCAAGCTCGGTCGTAAGTCGGATGGTAGGTGTATATTGATATTTTTATTAATGTTTACCTAAATGGAAATAATTTATTCATCCATTTTTTTTTTCAGTTTGTCATCTTAGTAATAGACTCTACTGACCGTGAGCGCCTCAGCATTACTCGAGAAGAATTGTATAAAATGCTTGCGCATGAAGAACTTTCACGTGCAGCTGTGCTTATATTTGCAAATAAACAGGATGTGAAGGGCTCAATGAGTGCTGCAGAAATTTCGCGTTTGTTAAATTTAACGTCTATAAAAAAGCACAGATGGCAGATACAGGGATGCTGTGCACTGACAGGGGAAGGGTGAGTATAATATGTTTGTCCTGTGTATTTGAATGGTGATTGTCATGTCCTTTGTGTCACTAATGGTACAAAATATCTGGGGCTGAACTGTATGCCATGAGGAAGAAACTAATGAGGACACCACATTTATTAGTAAGCATATCATGGTGGGAAGCAGAAATAATGAGATGATCTTTATTAGTGACTGAGGGTGTTTGGAACTTTGAAAAGGTCAACATCAAAGAATGTATCCTGCAAAATTCTGATAGTGAATAAGATGGAAAATTCCATTATTGAGTGGTTTCAGAAGAATTTCAGGTTGAAATACCTAGGTGCAATTAGAATGTCAACAAGTTGTAGCCAGGTCACAACTGAAGGTACTGTCTACAGAACATTGTTTCTGGTGACTTCATGTACAAGTTTGCAAGTGCATAACTGATGGGGGGATCTCATCACCATGCCATACTTCTGTCTATAGTTTTTTTTTTTTTAAAGCTGAAGTAATTGAATTTGATTCAGTGTTCTGTAAAGTCCTCTCAGTCATGGCAAGGTGAAGAAAGATCAAGGTTGGGTTGTATAGCATCTTGTTGTTCCTGGAGTTACTAGAACCAGAATGTTTTGCAGACAGTACAGTATAGCCCCAAGTTAGGATTATGCACATTCACAATATTAGCAGTTTGGGGGACAGACACCCACACAGACTGAGAGTGAGAGAGTGACCGACCAACTGACTGAGAGGAGAATGTCAGACACCAAGATCTGTGAGTACATTAGATGATAAGAAAATTATAAGAGTAAAAAACGAAAATACATTCATGACCTTGTCTGCTAATTATTTTATTAAAAATTTTATTCGGCTAAACATTATTAATTTGTTGTTAATGTCTTTCAGATTATACCAGGGACTGGAATGGATTGGCAGTACTTTAAAAAGCAAATGACAAAGCTACAACTCGGTAGTTGGGGAAAAAACCCTACAAGCTGTGATGGTCTTCATAAATGTGTTAATTATTGAGCTATTGTAAATGACCTATTGGTTAATTTTACATACTTGTTTGAATGTTGTCACTCATGTGACAAGACGTTTTTGTAGCAAAATATGTTCAAAGGCAATTTGATATTGTTTTCATGGCCAAATATAACTGATGACATCCTCTAATGAGGAGGGGTTCCAGTTTGGGCAGTATCCGTATGACTGTTTGAGACTTTTCAACTCAAGAAATATCTGAAAATATCAGAGTATAGTACAATATTTAGCTGAGTGTGGTGAAGCTTAGAAGTGGAACCCAGAGTTGATAAACAAGTGCTGTTCTTCCAGGATCAGTCCCTAGGAGTGTGTTCCCTGAACCCTGATCTTTAAGTGGAACATTTTTGTGATCGGAATAAATCCATGAATAGTACAGTATTGCTGTTTTGAATAACATAATTACTGGAAGCACTTGGACGATACTATACATGTTTTAAGGGCTAAAATAATTTTAACTCAAAAACTTCTTGAAAGCAAGTTAAACGAAATGAGGTGCTAGTTGTCACGAGGTATTTGTCTTTATCCACAGACATCTCTGTAGGTTTGGCACTGGTTAAATAAATTATTTTGTAACCTGACATTACTGATTTTAAACTATTCCAAGATTTTTTAATTGTCATTTTAATCCAAAAAATAGATATAATTTTTTTTTTTTTAAAGATTTTATTTGAAAAAGGGAAGGTAGTGATTATACTCTTTTCTTCACCATTACCCAGCCTTGTATTCCATGTAAATTTATAGCCACTACTCATATCTGTATTTCCAAAGTAATTTACATAGTGATCACTTACATTTTTTAGGTCTGAAGAGAGCCACCTAATTTGCTATAATATATCATTTATAACCTAATTTTGTACTAGCATTGTTGATGAACATTCTGTATTTTGAGTTTAGTCAGTGTCATTAATCATTGTTACGAGCCCTCATTACAGCAAACCTTATTCATATATTGATCATCAAGAAGTGTGCCAAAACTTTGACATTGTTAATAACATTTGGATACGATTAATATTTTTGTTTTTAAATGTTAAAATTGTCACTTTTAACATGCTTTACTATCTGATCATTTAGGATCACTTAGGCTATGTTAATACTCTTTTTATTTTATTACATTTTAAATGCTAAGGTGGAATGCCCCTTGCAAACATACTGTATATATGCTGTTTCATTTCAGTCTTTAGAGACATACATCAGTAGAATACATTTGTACTTCAAAGAAGTGAGGTTTTGTAATGTTTTCTTGCTCCTTTCACAGTTTTTTAATCACATATTTACAATGCACCTTTTTCATATCCACTCTTCAGTTTTTCATTCCTCACATATATTTATATGGTCTTTGTACTAGAAAAGTAGTTTCTTCAGCATGGTTTTAATGTAAACATGTAATGACTCCCATAGTACTACATTCCATGCACAGTATCTTCTTAATTACTCTTAGTCTCATTTTCTATCCTGTATCATTCATTCAAAGTACTATTTGTATACTTTTCCATAAACATTGAACTAACTTGTAAAGTAAAAGGACACAAGTGTAATTAATGTGACATTTTATTGTGGCAACGTTTCGCTCTCCAGGAGCTTTGTCAAGCTGTTACAAACGGCTTGACTTATAATGCAGTTGTTACCTTAATGTATTACTAGCAACTAGCATTGTTTAGTACTTCTAGTTTTACCAGAGCTTCTGGAACTTTACATTGGTTTGCTTCTACCGTTACCTTTAGTGCGTGTTTGGCCACAAGCACCATATGTGACGTAATGTATATAGATGTGTTCTCAGATTCACCTTTAGCAGCTCCACTGGGACACCAAATGGCAAATAAGTAATAATCTCAAAAACAGTAATTGGAAAGACTGTCTAATGTATCAGAAAGGTTAAGGTAGTGGTACATAATTTTATTGTTATACATTATAACCTCATGCTAGTGCCAATCTTCTATGCCACAAATATATTTAAACTTGCATGTAATTAACCAGATACAATAATAAATTTTTGCTATTTTGTAGTGAATGTTGTAAGAAGAAAGCAGTGATTAATATGGATGAGCAGAGCATTTTTCTGTTAGGGAAGCAGTCTTGTTATTGTAATAGTAATTTCTATCTCGACAAAAATAGTTTTCGTAAACTAATTGTTCTTACATGCATGTTAAGGATATACAATTCAGGCTAGTGGAGTGGTGAGCTATTCTTGAACAACATCTACTCAGGTTGGTTACCTGTCATTTTATCTAATCTACTGTATTTCATTTACATCTTTCTTGCTGCCCTCTGCCCTCACACTATCCCCTGTCCCGCTGTATTCTGTAACCTACTGATCATCCCTCGCCCCTTCTGCCAGCCAATACCCTCGCTTCCTTCCCTACCCTGCAGCGCTGTATAGCCCTTGTGGCTTAGCGCTTCTTTTTTATTATAATAATAATAATTCATTTACATCTTATTGTAGGCATTCTTAGTACAGTACCAATTTTGGTGTTTAGATATTCCTAAGTACTCTATGATTTTCTGATCAGTGAAATTGCATCTGTACCATCTTGAATAAGGACTTATTCTTTATTGTTATTATCCAGAATGCATTGAAATGTATATGCAGCTTACTTTGAAGAGCTTTTATGTTTATAACTAATATTGTATATCTCAGTGCTAAATCATGAAGACATAGCCATCATTGATTTTGCCACAGAACAAATTGCTGTGTGACCGCCATTTATAAATGGTTTAATTCAGGCTTTGTTCACAGTATCTTTTATTTAAATGTTTGCCATTTGTTTCCTGCAGGTTTTGTCTTCTCTTTTGATTCCTCTCTTGTGAAACTTGATCATTCTCAGCTTCCTAACTGTTGTAGTCCAATTCACTTATCATAAGCTGGGATTAAGGTTCAGGAACTTACCTTTTGAACAATGCAATATACTATAGGCATAAACCCAGTACTTTTCTGTTTGTAGTCTCATTCTAGACATAAGTGGTAGTAACTTGTATCACGTGTATTAAATATATTCTTTAATGTACTACCCAGGTTCAGGCCAGAATAATCTTAATGTGAAGATTGCTTTAATTTTATGGGTAATATTTAGTGTTTTCCATATCCTATTTTTTTTTTTTTTTTGTGTGCGCGTGCATGGACATAGGATTAATTTGTCTGTCTTAGATAATTTGAAAGAAAGATGAATCTTAGTATTTATAAATACTCATTTAGTAATACAAAGGGTTTTAAGGTAATTTTCCTTCCATATTGAGTAATCATAGAATATAGCAATAATCTACAGTATTACCTCTTTTGATGCTTAAATTTTAGGTGGATCACCCTTGCAAGGCATTAATTGCAAAGATGGATAATTATACAGAGATTTTTGTAGAGGTAAATTTGCACAGAGCTGTCTAACCCTTATGGGTTTAGCACTTCACTTGATTATTATAATAATACAGGTGAATAAAATATTGCTTTCTAAATTTAAAAATTAATACAGGAGTTATTAGCCCCCTTGCTCCCAGCATTTAGCCACATTTTACGATACACATGCCTTACGGAGGAAGGATTCTTCTCTACTTTCCACGGAGGTGAAAGGAAATAATGTAAGTACAAGAACTGTTAAAAAATAGAAGAAAACTCAGATTGATGTTTAAACACATACATATACATGTATGTGTAGTGTGAATTAAGTGTTACCAGACATACTTGTCACCTTGCATGTTTGAGATTGGGAAAAAAAGACACCAGCAATCCCATCATTGTGTAAAATAATTACAGATTTCTGTTTTGCACTTATTTGGCAGGACAGTAATAACTTCCTGGGTAGTTACTGTCTACCAACCTACTGCCGGCATGTGTCTGTGCATGTTCGATAGGAGTGAGTAGAGACAAGTGGTGGTTGACCTGATGTGCTGTTGGAGTGCGAGCAAGGTAACACACATGAAGGGATTCAGGAAACCCAGTGAGCTGGAATAGTCCTAAAGGTGTGAAGTATAGTGCCTGCACTCTGAAGGAAGGATGGGAATATTGCAGTTTAGAGGGGACATCTGAATTTTAATATTGGTGCACTTCTGGCAAGACAGGGATGGAGTGAATGAAAGTGTTTATTCTTTTTTGGGTCACCCTACCTTGGTGGGAGATGGTCAGTGTATTAAAAATAATGAATAGACTTTACAGTAGGACCTAATATACTGCAGCAGTTATTTTCCCTAAACCAGCACTTTATATAAAATCATGTGTAATACTTCCAAAACAAATGACCAAGTGGATTTCATTCCCTACTTCTGAAGTCCATTATATGGAGGATTTACTGTATTACACACATATTTTATTTTATTATCACACTGGCCGATTCCCACCAAGGCAGGGTGGCCCGAAAAAGAAAAACTTTCACCATCATTCACTCCATCACTGTCTAGCACCCTTCTGGCAAGACAGTGATGGAGTGAATGATGGTGAAAGTTTTTCTTTTTCGGGCCACCCTGCCTTGGTGGGAATCGGCCAGTGTGATAATAAAATAAAATATATGTGTAATACAGTAAATCCTCCATATAATGGACTTCAGAAGTAGGGAATGAAATCCACTTGGTCATTTGTTTTGGAAGCAATGGATAAAGTCCAGTTACTGAATTGACCATTATTGTTACAACTGTGACCCAACAATCTTCTCTCTATCTATCACAGTTGTCATTACCAGCCACCTGCTTCTCCCAGTTAGTATTTTGTATGGAGTTTACTATATAATTTTTTCTTGCCTCACTAGCTGTTTCCCACCAAGGTATGGTGACCCAAAAAAAAGAAAAGAAAAAAAACTTTCACCATCACACTACTGTCTGGCCAGAGGTGCACTGACACCACAGCTCAGGTGCCCCTTCAAACTACAATATCCCCACCCCCTCCTTCAGAGTGCAGGTACTGTATCTTCCACCTCCAGGACTAGTGTGGCTCACTGGTTTTTCCTGAATCCCTTCATAAATGTCACTTTGCTCTCACTCCAACAGCATGTCAAGTCATAAACACCACTTGCCTCCACTCACTCCTAGCTAATATGCTCTCACAAGCCTGTTGGATGTCCAAGCCCCTAATTATTATATGTAAGAAATAGGGTTAGTTACACAGCACCTCCAAGAAAACCATACAAATTTTTTGAGTGTTTTTCATTAAAAATAATTATTGATACCTTACATTCTAGATGTGGTTATTTGTTAATTGAACACCACCAACTATGATCACTTGCCAGCACTTTTGTCATCTATCACTACCTTCCACCTTCACTTACTGCCAGTAATATTCTGTACTGTAGTAGCTACCACAACCTACCAGTCCCATCACCTATGACTACCAGGACTATCACCACCTAAAACCATCACTTATGAGAGTAATATTTCATATAGATGCTACCACCACCACAACCTAGTCCTATCACCTACCAGTGTTATCACCATCTATCACCACCTTCAACAATCATCCAGGAGCTGTGTGCAGCACAGGGGTAAATTTTTCTCCAATTTTATGGCATGGAGGAGGAATTTTCCAAATGGGAACTAACCCAATTAAATTTTTTCCCAACATTAGCCACATAAAATACAGGCTGGAGCTGTGTTCTAATAATGATGGGATATAAATATGATTAGCATTGTAATAAAAACATGCTACCTAAATCTGTTATGAAAGGCCTGTCTGTAAATGCTTCTGTCTCTTATCGGAGCATCGTATAAGCTCGGTTCAAATACTGTGCATAGACTACGTAAATTGACGTGTTGAAGTATATGTTGGTACTAGTGTATTGCTTAGTCTTCAGTTTTAAATAATTCATCAAATAAGGTATGACTAATAATTTTTATTTTTTATGAACGTGTCTTGAAACAAAGGGCTTAGTTTTTCAGCAGTATAAAGTCACTCGCTACCCGTAACTCTAGCCTAGGGTTTAATGTTTGTATTTTGCACAGATTTAATCATAAGAATAAGTACTTTTGCCATCAAACCAAAACTACCTTGTGAATTTCTTTAAATTGTATTTTACAAGCAAAGGTGTTAGTACTATTTACTATTTTTAAGGATAAATGGGGATTTTTATACACTACTGACTTTCCATATTGTGTTACTATCAAGTGATAAAAAAATGCTAGCCAATGCAATTGGCACAACTAGTAGCCTAAACTGTACATTGTACTGTAACCTTTATAACTACAGCGATTAACCATTTCTTCACCACTCAATTCCTACTCGAAAGTTGATAAATTTACTGATACCTGGGATGATTTTTTTAAACTTTTCTTATTACCTTGGTTCTTCAGTCAGGTAATTGTGTGACATTCTGTTTTGGGGTTTATGCACTGGAATATTTACCCTTTCAAGCATGATAATTTTATATATTTTTTTTATTAATACATTACTGTTTTGTGCATAACTATTTGTGGTTAGATTGTATGTAGCTAAACATTAAAATACATACAAGAGCATTTGCAGCAGACCTGGTCCATACTAGGTAGGTCTTTCTCACACACAGTAAAGTATCATTACATACATGAATGAGCCTATTGCTACCTAGTTGCATATGCCCTTTTTAGAATTTGTTTTAATCTGTTTAGCAAATTTTAATTTGCACATAGAAATTGGTTACTTCTATTTAAATAATATTTTAAACTGTTTTAAAGTAAATATCCCAAAGGCAAATACAGTATGCTATGAGATTACATGTCTTAACACTAACATGTTCCCTCAAGAGAGGTGCTTGAATTCTGGTGAGGGGACTCGGGATTCAAACATCTGGCCAGGTTTAGTGCTTGATTTGATTGTATTATTATTCAAACAACTGGACTTCTCTCCTTCCATCGATCAGACCTGAATGCCTCCCATTCCTTGGTCACTATATGATCCCTCTATATTTAGCACTTCCTGATTACAATAATAAACTAGCATGTATGTGCATGCATACAAATGTCCAGTACACATTCTTCAACATAAGATTACAGGTCTTGACACTCAAGCATGTGTGCATGTATGCACAATAATATTAGTCCATTACACATTCTTCCACATAAGTCCTCCAGCATTGTCAAATATTTGTTTTGCTCAGTGCAAGGGAGTGTAAATTGATGCTTATGACAGTTATATTAACTTCAGCACATGTTTAGTGCTTTTTCAAAACACACTTGATTGAAATACCTACATAAAATGCTGTTTGAGGCCACCCTCCAGAGAAATAAGTTCCCAATGGGAGCAAAGCATAAAGTGTACTGTATTGAGAAAGGTAGATAGGCTTTTTTGCCATGAGAAAATTAGCAAGTAAAATATTACATGCAGCTTCAGCCAATGTATGCTGAGAAAGCAACTAAAAAATTTTTAATCAAGACTGAAAGCTAAACTTCCCAAAATATCAAATCTTGGTTAAATACATGCGAATATTAGTGTCACCCTGCCTCGGTGGGAGACGGCCGACTTGTTGAAAAAAAAAAATTAGTGCACATTAAGTAACATTTAATAGCAAAGACATTAATATCTTTAGTGTATTAACAAATGTTTTTTGCAGATTTGGCAAGTATAAGATCTATAACTAAAGTGTATAAGGTGCTCATTAAGTGGCCTCATCTCAAAATGTGTAATTTGTTAACTTGTGTATACTAAGGATTTAATTTGGTTAATATTGGCATATTTGTAACTCGCTAATCCTAAGTAAATCCAAAGTCAAAGCTAGTTAAATATTTTTTTAACAAAACTTTTTGAGAATTTTGTACTTTTATTGTTTTGGATAGTAAATTATATATGGTACAAGAGGACAATTTTTATCACTGTCAGGTGTTGTAAGATAATGTTGTGCTCATCTTTGTTCCATGTTTGTTGAACAGAGTATAAGGGTAAATGATAGAATTATGGCTGAATCAACTTTTATCTGTATTATTTAGGTTAGGTTTTTATAAATAGAAATAACCAAGCACAGTTTCCTGCAACATATCTTTTTTATACAAGGCTAGATGTTTAGATGAAGAGGTTGACAGAGATGAATGTGATCCTATTTTGCTCATTTACCATCTATGTAATGTAAGTTATGATGTGCTGTTCTTTTAGTTTTTTTTTTTTTTTTGTCCAGGTTTCTGAAGAGGTTCATGTATAATTTACCTCAACTCTGAGGAACAGTAATGTGGTTATCCAGATAATTTAGTGTAACTTGGTAAAGTATAAATTTGTCCATAATTTTTGTTAATGTACTATTTGAGTATGCTTGAATATGGATGTTTGCACTTAATGTGTATACATCCATGTGTGTATTATGGAGGATAACTTAGTTGTAAATAGTATGATGAAATATTGGTTTGATTATTTGATGTATATGGCAGCAGTGTTGTGAAGACTGTTAGTGAGTGATTTTGCCTGACAATCAGACATATTGTCTGCATTTCTTTAAATGTCAGTGTACCATGTTTCATAACTGTATATAAGAGATGTCTATTTTCAATAAAAATAATTTTAAGCTCTTGTTATTTAATATCCTTTTTGTTGTATTAGAATTTGCAACAATGTTTTCTACTAGTGTTCTTAGTATTAGAATGCCCCCCTCCCCCCACCAAAAAAAAAAAATCTTTGATTTTTAGATTTACAAAATGTGGTTGTGGATTTGTGTAGAAGATATGACAGCTAGGTCACATGGGTTTAAAGACAAGTAGAGACAAGGGTTATGAGCTTTCTCATCACAAACATTATGGTAATTACACTTCCCATCTTGCAGCCCATTAATGATGTAAAATGGTGAAAAGGGAGGGGGGCTTCAGTGATAACTTCACATTTTGTAGTTGGTTGCTTCTGAGATTCAAGAGATTCCTCAAGGATCCTAAGTGAAGTTAATTTTTGAACCTGACCCTTCTCGAGCAAGGTTCCTAGATGCTGGCGAGAGGCTCTTGACTTGTGAAATTGTAACGAGACAATTGCAAACAAACCACGGTACGGGTGGGGATCGAGTCATGGATTTAAATTAGATAAGTTTAGATTTAGAAAGGACATAGGAAAGTATTGGTTTGAAAATAGGGTAGTTGATGAGTGGAACAGTCTACCTAGTTGGGTTATTGAGGCTAGGACTTTGGGTAGTTTCAAATTTAGGTTGGATAGGTGCATGAGTGGGAGGGGTTGGATTTGAGTGGGACTTGCACATCAGAGCTTATTTCTTGGGTATCATTGAAAATTGGGTTGGGCAAATGTTTTGTTAGTGGGATGAATTGTAAAGGACCTGTCTAGTATGGGCCAACAGGCCTGCTGCAGTGTTCCTCCTTTCTTATGTTCTTATGACGGCTTTGAGGGGACTTGATCTAGAGTTCGTCACAGCCACCCTGGCGGGAGATTCATCTGTAAAAGCTTGCATTTGTGGTCACAGTGGAACCCATGCTAAACTCCCTA